CGCCCTTTTCCCTGAGGGGACTCAGGGCGGCTTACAACTTATGTAGGAGGGGATACATACAATGACGTATAGAACAATACATAATTAAAAAATAGTAACTTAGTAACACGGTTGTTAAGTGAATCTGGCTCTCTCCCATTGATTTTGCTTGTCAGAAGTTCGCAAAAGGGAATCACATGACCTTGGTACACAGCAATGGTCATAAGTATGAACCAGTTGCCAAGCATCTGAATTTTGATCCCAGGATCATGGGGCTGCCACAAAAGTCATAAGTGTGAAAAGTCAATTTTTTTCAGTGCTGTTGTAACTTTGAACGGTCACTACGTGAACTGTTATAAGTTGAGGACTACCTGTACATGCCCTGTGCAAATTGTTGAAAGTGATGACTTGAGATTCTGTCCATTCTTACTGTGCCCAGGTACTTTTCCAGATCTTTTGGCATAGCAACAGACGTTGCAGTTATTTTTTCATTTCTCCAAGGGTAAATAATAATAAATATGTTGCTATTGGCCTGAATCAATCTACTGGAGCAGTGTGATTCAATCTCAGTAATTTTAAGAAGTATGGGACTTCAGCTCAAGGAATTCTGGGAGTTGGAGTCCATATGTCTTCAGGTTATTGAGGTTGAGAAACACTGTGTTAGAGGATAAAGGCCTCTTCATTAAAGATTATGGATGCAATCTATCTGTACTTTGCTGGTTCAGTGTGGGCTGGTAGATGGATTGATTTAAAATCATCCAGTGAAAACCCAACCTATTCAGGGCAGTTTGTTCGTTGGTGAACCCATCCAGCCATCTGAGTGATGCTTTTCTCCATCTAAGTTTAGTTGTTAAGAGCAACATCTATTAAAAGGGACAATCACAATCACAACCAGGCACACAACACACCAGATCATAGTCTTTCCCATTTCACGATGAAGTGCTGTTGTTCAGTTCAGATTAGAGCAGGGGTGAAATCCACTTGACTTTGCTATGTGAGCGCATGCACCGGACCTTCTGCACATCCGCAGAAGGTCAAAAACAGATGTGATGATTGATTGATTGATTGATTGA